TTTGTGCCTCAGCCATCTCAAGGGGCTTGTGGGAGCCATGGGCCACTCAGAAGGAGTCCAGGGCCTCAGCTGCCTGGAGTGCTGGCTCCATGCACAGTAGGTGGGAGTAAGTCACTGTGGAGTGCACCCACTCACCTGACTGGGATCTCCTGCCTCCTGCAGGTGGAGAACTTTGCCCTGAGGTGAGACGGGGTATGTCCACACCTGCCTCTTCCATCCTCCAGCTGCCACTGCAACCTCGGGCCCCAAGGTCAAATCACCTGCTAGGTGGATCTTGGAGAAACTTGCTAGAGGCTTGGAATCTTGTCCCCACTCTCTCTCTGCAGCTCGGCTTCCAGCAGCCAGAGGATGTGGCAAGTGACATTGTCCAGAACTGGAATCCCAGCATCTCCAGCTCTTTTTTTTTTTTTTAATATTTATTGATTTTTTTGTATTGATTTTTCTTTTTTATAAAATTTTTTAGTTTAATTTTAACTAGTTTTTAACAGATTCAATGTGATTTATAGATACAATTCTAAGAATGTAATGATATTCTCTTCTTCCACCTTCCCTGTCTCCTTCTCTCCCACCATCTTTCCTTCTCCTTTTCTTTTTTTTTTTAGATTTTGAGATAACATGTTTTAAATTTACATTACACTGAAAAGGTTTAACACTACACCAAATAAGTTTAAACAAAGATCTTAATTAAGTGGGAATACAGACAACAGCTATAAATAATAATTGAATAGAAAAATTACCATTTCACCCATATACAGTAAATTTTAAAGTAATTACAGATCATTAAAACTATAGTAGTATAACATCCTAACCATTGGTTTGACAAGGTAAAAAAAATTTACAAAACTATATTTGCAGAAATACTGGTACACAGACATTTCTTTCTTTCTTCTTCTTTTTTTTTTCTGTTTGTCTTTTAAATTTTAACTCCCATATATAAGGGAGAATATGTGGTATTTGTCTTTCTGGGTCTGGCTTACATCACTCAACATGATATCCTTTAGTTGCATCCATTTTGCTGCAAATAGTAGCATTTCATTCTTGATTTATTGATTTATATGAAAGACAGAGTTACAGAGAGAGGTTGAGACAGAGAGAGAAGTCTTCCATTCACTGGTTCACTCCCCAGATGGCCGCAATGGCCAAATCTGCACGGATCTGAAGCCAGGAGTAAGGAGCTTCTTCCGGGTCTCCCATGCAGGTGCAGGGGCCCAAGGACTTGGGCCATCTTCTACTGCTTTTGCAGGCCATAGCAGAGACCTGGATCAGAAGTGGAGCAGCCAGGACTAGAACCAGTGCCCACATGGGATGCTGGCACTGCAGGCAGCAGCTTTACCTGCTACGCCACAGTGCCAGCCCCTCAGCCCAGTTCTTAACCTCCAGGGCCTTAGTTTCCTCATCGGTAAAATCTGATTAATGGTTGCCCCTTGTCCATCCTTGGCAGGGGTAAGAACTCCAGGGCATGGTAGGGCTCTTAGCTGCACCTCTGGGTGATTGGGCTTCCTCTGCCTTGCATGCTGGCCCAGGCGCCTTACCTGCATTAGCTCTATGTCTGCCTTACAGATGGGGAAACGGAGTCCCAGAGACACTAAGAAGCATTAGGGTGAGGAGAGGGAGGATAGAAATTGGATAATAGGTAACAAACACAGAGAGAAGGAATGAATTTAATGTGGGTGACTAATTTACAATAATGTAGCGCATGTTTTATGAAGAACTGGACAAGAGGAACTTGAAGGCTCCAAACATAGAGAAATGATAAGATGGAAATGCTAACCACTGAACAGATCACTATATACTCTGTAAAACCAATAAATACAGTGAAATATCACACCACACGTATCACACATATGTAAAAATATTGCATGTTAATCAAAAAACATATAAAACCCTCATGGAAAGTTAAAAAAATCATAAGAAAATAAACATTAAATCTAAACTGTTTAGCCGGCGCCGCGGCTCACTAGGCTAATCCTCCACCTAGCGGCGCCGGCACACCGGGTTCTAGTCCCGGTCGGGGCGCCGGATTCTGTCCCGGTTGCCCCTCTTCCAGGCCAGCCCTCTGCTGTGGCCAGGGAGTGCAGTGGAGGATGGCCCAGGTGCTTGGGCCCTGCACCCCATGGGAGACCAGGAGAAGCACCTGGCTCCTGGCTCCTGCCATCGGATCAGCGCGGTGCGCCGGCCGTAGCGCGCCGGCCGTGGCGGCCATTGGAGGGTGAACCAACGGCAAAGGAAGGCCTTTCTCTCTGTCTCTCTCTCTCACTGTCCACTCTGCCTGTCAAAAAAAAAAAAAAAAAATCTAAACTGTTTAGTTTTATTTATTTGAGAGAGAGAGAGAGAGAGAGAGAGAGAACTTTCATTTGTTTGTTCACTCCCCAAATACCTACAAAAGCCAGGGCTGAGCCAGGCCAAAATGAGGAGCCTGAAACTCCCAGGAGGTGCATTAGCAGAAAGTTGGATAGGAAGCAGAGTAGCCAAGACTCAGCCAGGCACTACAATATGGGATGTTGGCATCCCAAGTGGCAGATTAACCTGCTGTTCCACAATGTCCAACCCTCAGGTTATTTGTGTTTTTTTTTTTTTTAAAAGCAGTGGTGGGGTGACATCTCTTGTGACGCTGGCATACCTTACAGGTGCCAGTTTGAATCCCAGCTGCTCCACCTCTGACACAGCTCCCAGCTAATGCACCTGAGAAAAAAGATGGCCCAAGTCCTTTGGCCCCTGCACCCATGTGGGAGACCTGGAAGAAGCTCCTGGCTCCTGGCTTTGGTCTGGCGTAGCCCTGTTCATTGCAGCCATTGGGGGAGTGAACCAGTGGATAGAAGACCTCTCTCTCTCTCTCTCTCTCTCTCTCTCACTCTGCTTCTCCCTCTCTTTCTCTGTAACTCTGCCTTCAAATAATAAATAAATAAACATTTTTAAAAATGAAAAAAGGCGTTGGGAGGGTGGCATAGGTGGGATTTGAACCTGAGCCTATCACCAGAGTTGGTGGTGGAGGGGATGGAAGACACTGGCTGACTTAGACTAAGTTGAAAGAACCATGCAGGTCCTCAGAAGGAAACTGGGGCCCAACTGCAAGGCAGAAAGGGCAGGGGAAACGGATCCTGGAGAGGCCAGGCATCAGACAGCCTTTCTGATCTTTCACAGCTTCCCTGTCAATCAGTCGCCTAGACATTGTTTCAGCTCCAAGCTGTCTCCACCATGCTGGACTCCAGCTGTCACCAGGGTAATTTTTGTTAACATGTTTGGTTCTTGCTCCATGTGCTGAGGCCACAGAACAATCTGGTTCTCCTATTCATGGCAGCCTTTCAGAGAGAGTGGGGAATCCTGGGCACCTTGTTGCTCTCCTCTTCCCAATTCCCCATCACTCTGCAACTCACTCATCACTCAGCTGTCTATGGTGGCCGACTGTCCTAACTCTTACAGGCCTCATTTTCCTCATCTGTCAATGCAACCTGAGCTTCTCAACTGGTGGGGAGCCATTTTTTTTTAAGATGTATTTATTTTACTTGAAAGTCACAGTTACACAGAGAGAAGGAGAGGCAAAGAGAGAGTGAGAGAGCGAGAGCAAGAGAGAGAGGGGTCTTCCATCTACCGGTTCACTCCTCAAATGACCGCAATGGCTAGAGCTGAGCCAATCTGAAGCCAGAAACCAGGAGCTTCTTCCAGGTCTCCCACGCAGGTGCAGGGGCCCAAGGACTTGGTCCATCTTCTACTGCTTTCCCAGGCCATAGCAGAGAGCTGGATCAGAAGTGGAGCAGCTGGAACTCAAACTGGTGCCAAAATAGGATGCTGGCACTGCAGGCGGTGGCTTTACCCACTATGCCACAGCGCTGGCCCCATGGGGAGCCATTTGTTTGGAGTTCATAAAGTCCAGGAACAAACACATTACAGAATCTAACACTTTCATTTCACTAGAGGCTTTTTTCTCCCCACCCCCAGGAAATGCAGAGCATTTCAATGTTAAAATAATTATGTACATGGGGCTGGCATTGTGGCAAAGTGGGTTAGGTTGATGCCTGGGTTTGAGTCCAAGCTGCTCCACTTCCAGCCCAGCTCCCTGCTAATGCATCTGGGAAAGCAGCAGAAGATGGCCCAAGTCCTTGGATCCTGTCAATCATGTAGGAGACCTAGATGGAATTCCAGGTTCCTGGCTTCAGCCTGGCCCAGCCCCAGCTGTTGCAGCCTTTGGGAGAGTACACCAGCAGATGGAAGAGTGTTTTCTCTCTCTCTCTTTAACTCTGACTTTCAAATAAATAGATAATTTTTTTTTTTGATAGGCAGAGTTAGACAGTGAGAGAGAGAGAGAGAGAGAGAGAGAGAGAAAGGTCTTCCTTCCGTTGATTCACCCCCTACCACGGCCGGCGCACTGCGCTGATCCAAAGCCAGGAGTGAGGTGCTCCCTCCTGGTCTCCCATGCGGGTGCAGGGCCCAAGCACTTGGGCCATCCTCCACTGCACTCCCGGGCCACAGCAGAGAGCTGGCCTGGAAGAGGAGCAGCTGGGACAGAATCCGGCTCCCCAGCCGGGACTAGAATCTGGGGTACCAGCACTACAGGCGGAGGATTAGCCCAGTGAGCCGCGGCACCGGCCATGACAACCAATTTTTTTTTTATTTTTTATTTTTTGACAGGCAGAGTGGACAGTGAGAGAGAGAGAGACAGAGAGAAAGGTCTTCCTTTGCCGTTGGTTCACCCTCCAATGGCCGCCGCGGCCGGCGCGCTGCGGCCGGCGCACCACGCTGATCCGATGGCAGGAGCCAGGAGCCAGGTGCTTTTCCTGGTCTCCCATGGGGTGCAGGGCCCAAGCACCTGGGCCATCCTCCACTGCACTCCCTGGCCACAGCAGAGAGCTGGCCTGGAAGAGGGGCAACTGGGACAGAATCCGGCGCCCCAACCGGGACTAGAACCCGGTGTGCTGGCGCCGCAAGGCGGAGGATTAGCCTAGTGAGCCGCGGCGCCGGCCAGACAACCAATTTTTAAAAAATGTATGTAACAGGGGCCAGCACTGTGGCATAACATTTAAAGGCGGCCACCTGTAGTGCAGGCATCCCATATGGGCACTAGTTCAATTCCTGGCTGCTCCACTTCCGATCCAGCTCCCTGTAATGGCTTGAGAGAGCAGCAGAAGATGGCCCAAACACTTGGGCCCCTGCACCCGTGTGGGAGACCCAGAAGAAGCTCCTGGCTCCTGGCTTCGGATTGGGCCAGCTCTTTCCATTGCGGCCATTTGGGGAGTGAACCAGCGGATGGAAAACTTCTCTTTATCTTTCTGCCTCTGCCTCTCTGTAACTTCAAGTTTTAAATAAATAAATAAATCTTTTAAAAGGGGGGAGAAACGTATGTAACATTATGGATGTCAGTCTAAGTACAGCCTCAGGTTGGACTATCTCTTTATGAACTTGGCAGAGTAACTGTTACACACTGAATCCAGAGATTCTGGGCCAGCTAGAGATGCCACAGAGTCCTGGGCTATCAGAGTTGGAGGGGCCTCCTGTGGGGGCACTGAGGCCCAGAGTGAAGAGATTTGCCCAGCATCACACAGGTCTGCTACCCCCAGCTCACAGCTCTCACCTCACTCCTAGGCCCTGGTCTGTTGCCCAAACCTGCTTGCTTCTCTTAGTCAATGGTATTTCAGAACATTGGCCAACACTTGGTCACTAGCAAAGGGAAGGGGTGGCCCCCTTTCAGGAAGGCCCAGCCCTGCATGTCGCCAGCAGCCCTTGGGCAAGGTGGCCCAAGTAGCATCTAAAAAGGATCTGGGAACGGCAGGGCCCACAGAAGAAGCAATGGCAGGGGTCTGGAAGGTACTAGTGGTGCTGGTGGGCTTGGCAGTGGTGGCTTGTGCCATCCCCCGTCGCCGTCTGAGATATGAGGAGGTTGTGGCCCAGGCCTTGCAGTTCTACAATGAGGGGCAACAGGGCCAGCCCCTCTTCCGCCTGCTGGAAGCCACCCCACCACCTAGTCTGGTGAGTGTTTCTGGGGCCCAGGCCTGCGACGCGGCAGGTACCTCCTGCTTCACAGCTGAGAGGGTGACACAGCCTTAGGCAGGCACGAAGTACTTAGTTAACGTTAGCTGTTATTATTATTACGTTTCTCCCACCTGAAGGTAAGTCAAGAATGTAATCTTAGTCTGAAGACTGGCTGGCTGGCAAACTCGGGCCTTCACCTGTTGTGGGGTCTGGGGATCAGGCCTGCACTTGGTGCTGGGCTGGTGGGAATAGGCAGTTTTCTGTTGTTTCTTTAGAACTCCAAATCCAGGATCCCACTCAACTTCAGGATTAAAGAGACGGTGTGCATTTTCACTCTGGACAGACAGCCTGGAAACTGTGCCTTCAGAGAGGGCGGGGTGAGTCTTCCCTCCAGCCCCCAGCTCCTGGGAGCACAGGTCCCTTCCCTCTTGGTCTCAAGGGGAGGGCATTTGCCTCCTCCTACTGCATCCACTGCACCCACTGCACCTGAGGTCTCAATATGGAAGGCTTTTTTTTTTTTTTTTTTTTTAGATTTATTTATTTGAAAGTCAGAGTTACACAAAAGGGGGGGGGGGTGTGTGGAGAAGGGAGAGAGGGAGAGGAGAGGCAAGGGAGAGGGAGGGAGGGGGTCTTCCATCTGCTGGTTCACTCCCCAGACGGCTGCAACAGCCAGGCTGGGGCCAGGCTGAAGCCAAGAGCCAAGATTTCCATCCAGGTCTCCCTTGTGGGTAGCAGGGACCCAAGCACTTGGGCCATTATCCACTGCTTTTCTCAAGCCATTAGCAGGGACTGGATGGGAAGTAGAGCAGCTGGGACAGGAAACAAAGCCCGTGTGGGGTGCTGGTGTTGCAGGCTGTGGTTTTACCCACTAAGCCACCACACCCAGGCCCACTGTGAAAGCCTTTTTAAAGTCAGATTTCTCCTTATTGCTTCTCTATACCATAAATTACTACAAATCCTTATTATAAAATCAATACATGCTGAAAATGACTAAATATAAAAAGAAGAAAAAGTGACTATAACCCACCTAAAGATCATTGGTTTTTAAAAACTAAATCAGATAATAACATGTTCTTATTTTTGCTTCTCCACATTTAAAAAAAGTACTAGTTATTTTCTAATCTCCTGCAAATCCACTGCCCAGGGACAGATAAGTAACCGCGATGGCTGGTCCTCTGACTCCTGCACCCCATGCACTTTTACACACATGCGATTTCCTTTGGGTAGCTAATTCGCAGATGCCTTTCCCCGTTTAGTAATTCACACGGGCGCCCTTTATTTTGACGGGTTCACCTGCTAGTCCGCTTTCCCAGAGATCGCCTTACCTCGGGCTCTGGCTTGACGACGGATTTGGGAAAATCCCAAAGTGGGTCTACCTGGCCCTCGGGGCTCAGACGTCCCCGGACAGCCGGGCCTCCACCATTCTCGTGGGCGATGGCCCGGACACTTCCAGCCCCGGTCCCCCTTCCCCGCAGGAGGAGCGAATCTGCAGGGGCGCGTTCGTCAGGCGCAGGTGGGTGCGCGCTCTGACCCTCCGCTGTGACAGGGACCAAAGGCGTCAGCCAGAGGTGAGTTTGCGTGCGCGCTGCAGAGCCTCCCTGCCCCGCCTGCAGCCCTATCCCGGCTCGCCCGTGCCCTTAGCGGCGGCTCTTTCCGGACCACCGAGGCCGCCTCAGTTTCCTCCTCTCGAAAATGGGGCCGGGGGAGCCCTTCGCAGTACAAGTCGCTGGGAGGGGAGAGGCTTGGAGGTTTAGGGGAGGGGATAGATCTTGATGATGGGCAGCAAGGAGAGACCTCTCTGCGGAGCTCCTCAGGATCTGCCCCCACCCTGGCCCTGGGAAATCTGGAAACGCCCCCTGCCCCTAATCTCACATTGGCAGAACAGAAGCCAGGAGGGAAATGAGTCCCAGCGTCTAGGCCCGCCTGAGCCCTCTGGGCTCCCAGGGCGCCTCTGACTTGCCTGGGCCTCCCCATCCCAGCCTTGAGGGAGGGCCGCAGGCAGGGAGGGGATGGTGGGGACTAGGTGACAGTACCCTGTCTGCAGTTTCCTAGAGTCACTCGTCCAGCAGGACCCACAGCCTGAGGCAGCCGCCTTGAAGGCTCAGAGCACCAGGCTGCCGCCTGTGGTCCGGGACCTGTATGAGAATGCCAAGTACAACATCATCAGCAACATCCTGAGAGACTTCTAGCGCTGGGCAACGGAGCAGGTGCACTGCATCCCCAGCGCGACCTTCCCTTACCTGCCCGCCCGCCACGCCCGCCACCTTCAGCACCCTCTCTCCTGCACAGTCCAGGTTCTTTTTGTGCAGAACCCTGGGTAACCTCTGCTCTCTGCCCTTCACATATCCAGACACTTCTCAGGCCAGGGATGGGGGTGTGGGGGGAGGTCAGACCGCCCTTGGGTGAGAACCACAGGAGAGTCTCAATAAAATGCTTCTGAAAGAAACGACGGAGTGAATGGCTCGATGAATGACGTGGTAGGTGGTGGACTGGCTCAACTTGGGGTGAGGAGACCACCGAGGCATTCGATGGAGGATTCAGAACGGGGGGATCTGCCTCCCGTGGGTCAGGGCAGGGACCATGGAGAGAAACCAGAGATGGGGACAGAGGCATCCCACCCAAGGGCTGACCTGAGGGTTCAAGGCGGAGTCATGTACCCCAACACTGCCTTAAGTTTCTTCATGCCCCTGCCTTTATCACAAAGCCCCCGCCAGAACTTCTCCCTTGAACCCCAGACACACATCAGACTGCCTCCTCAACACCTCCCTGTGGAGCTGGTCTCAGTACCTTTCCTCTAAGCCTCTTTTTTTTTTTTTTTCCTTTTCTTCCTTTTTTTTTTCTTTTTTTAAGATTTACTTATTTATTTGAAAGAGTTAGAGAGAGAGTTAGAGAGAGAGAGAGAGAGAGAGAGAGAGAGAGAGAGATTCCATCTGCTGGTTCACTCCCTGGATGGCTGAGCCAGGCTGAAGCCAGGTGCTTCATCTGGGTCTCCCACATGGGTGGAAGGGACCCCGTTGAACATCTTCCACTGCTTTTCCCAGGCCATTAGAAGGGAGCTGGCTAGGAATTGGAGCAGCCAGGACACTAATCAGTGCCCACATGGGATGCTGGCGTTGCAGGCCACGGTTTTATCCATAATGCCACAAGGCTGGCCCCTAAGCCTACCTTTCCTTCAGCCCCCCTAGTCAGCTGCTGACAACTTTGTCCACCCAAGTTACCCTCTTCCGGGTCTCACAAGTTACATCTGGTCCACCAGCAAACATTTGGTCTTGGTTTTCGATGTCTCCTCAACCCTGAGAACCGAACCAAACCTGGCGCACTGGTAGTTATTCAGCACGCACTTGTTGAATGGAGGAGTGCCCTCTTCGTCTCACTAGCATGCTCTTTCTTCAAGACTTGGACAGAACCGAATGAAAACTGTCTCGTGGCTAAGATGCCAGGTCGGATGCCGTGTCCCATATCAGAGTACCTAGGTTCAGTACCCGGCTGCAGCTCCTGGCTCCAGCGCTCTGTTAATGCAGGTCCTGACAGGCAGTGGAGATTGCTACCCATGTGAGAGACCCAGATTGAGTTTTTGTCTCCTAGCTTCAGCCTGGTCCAGTTCCAAGCCATTGCAAGCATTTGGGGAGTGACAAACATATGGGAGCTCTGTCTGTACTTCTCAAAAACAAAACAAAACAAACAATAAACTCTAATTTCTGAGGCTGTAATGTAGAGTCCTGTATGAGTCAGCTTTCCATTCCTTTAACTAAAACACCTGAGAGGAGCTACTCAGGAAGCAAGGTTTATTTTGACTTGCAGTTTTATGGGTTCACAGTCTAAGATCAAACAGTCTGGTTGGTCTGACATTTAATGATGGCAGATGGTGGGATGCGTGCATAGGATCACAATGGGATCCAGGAAGCAGAGAAGGTAGGCCAAATTTGGCTTATAAAACAAATCCTCTTGTAAGAGTCTCCCACTAGGCCTACCTCCTAGATGCCATAATTAGATCAAGCCTCCAGTCTTAAGCATCAGTGTGAACATTAACCTTAATCCATTAACCATTAACATAAGACATTGGGGTTTAAATGTCTGCATGAATTTGGGGAGTCAAATGCTATTCAAATTGTAACAGGTCTTTAATACATCCTGAATTCATTTTTTAATATAATGCAAGATAGAGGTCTAGTTTCATTTCCTGGATGTGGACGTCTGATTTTCCCAGCATTGTTTATTGTAGAGACTTTTTTTTTTTTAAAGATTTATTTATTTATTTGAAAGTCAGAGTTACACAGAGAGAGGAGAGGCAGAGAGAAGTCCTCCATCTGTTGGTTCACTCCCCAACTGGCTGCAATGGCCAGAGCTGCGCCAATCTGAAGCCAGGAGCCAGGAGCTTCTTCCGGTCTCCCACATGGTTGTAGTGGCCCAAAGACTTGAGCCATCTTCTACTGCTTTCCTGGGCCACAGCAGAGAGCTGGACTGGAATAGGGACAGCTGGGACTAGAACCAGCACCCATATGGGATGCAGCACCACAGGCGGAGGATTAACCTACTACGCCACTGAGCCAGCCCCCTGTAAGGTTTATATCAAGAAGTCTGCCATTAAGTGAACTGGGATACCCTTATAGGTTCTTTATTTTACCTTGAAGATTTGATAATTCTCTTTGGCTTTCACTTTGGAGAACTTGATTATATATGCCCTGGGGTAAACCTAATTGAGTTGACTATGACTGGTGACCTCTGATCTTCCTGTATCTGTTCAGTTGTATCTTTCTGTAGCTTTGGGAAATTTTTTGTCTCATCTTTTTTTAAAAAAATTTTTTTTGACAGGCAGAGTTAGACAGTGAGAGAGAGAGACAGAGAGAAAGGTCTTCCTTATGTTGGTTCACCCCACAAATGGCTGCTATGGCCAGTGCACTGCGCTGATTCGAAGCCAGGAGCCAGGTGCTTCCTCCTGGTCTCCCATGCAGGTGCAGGGCCCAAGCACTTGGGCCATCCTCCACTGCCTTCCTGGGCCACAGCAGAGAGCTGGCCTGGAAGAGCAGCAACCAGGACTGGAACCCAGCACCCATATGGGATGCCGGCACCGCAGGTGGAGGATTAACCAAGTGAGCCACGTTGCCGGCCCCTTGCCTCATCTTTGAATATGCTATTTCCCTGTTTGGCCTTCTCAAGTCCCTCTTAAACTCCAATAACTTGTGTATTTCCTCTTAAAATTCTGTCCCAAAGTTTCCATAAGCTTTCTTAATTCCTCTTGATTCTTTTTTTTAAAATATGGAACGCAAGTGTCATCCTTGCGCAGAGGCCATGCTAATCTTCTCTGTATTGTTCCAATCTTAGTATACTTTAAGATTTATTTCTTTATTTGCAAAGCAGAGTTGCAGACAGAAGGGAAAGACAGAGAGAGAGAGAGAGAGAGAGAGAGCGCGCTTCCATCTGCTGGTTCACTCTTCAAATGGCTGCAATAGCCAGGGCTGGACCAGGCTGAACCAAGGAGCCAGTAGCTTCTTTTTGGTCTCACATGTGGGTGCAAGGTCTCCCACATGGGAGGGCCATCTTCCACTGCTTTTCCAGGCCATGGCAGAGAGCTGGATAGGAAGTGGAACAGCTGGTACTCGAACCAGTGACAATACTGGATGCCAGCACTGCAGGCGGCTTTACCCTCTACACCACAGTACCTGCCCCGGTTGCTTCACTTTTGATCCAGCTCCCTCATAATGTGCTGGGAAGCAGTAGAAGATGGCCAAGTGCTGGGCCTCTGCACCCATGTGGGAGACCTGGAAGAGGCTCCTGGCCCTTGGCTTCAGCCTGGCCCAGCCCTGGTCATTGTGCCCATCTGGGGAGTGAATCGACAGATGGATCTCTCTCTCTCTCTCTCTCTCTCTCTCTCTCTCTCTGTGTGTGTAACTGTTTCAAAAACAAATAATAAATCTTTAAAAATTTTTTGTTATCTATAAGTTGCTATCTAATTGATTTCTGACACTTTATTTTGTTCATTAGGTAAAGTCCTAGTTCCCTGAAAGTTGGCATACATTGTCATCTACACATTGAAGGATTAGGAATTTTTCCCCGTCTTCATTATTTGGATTTGTTTTTGCATGATTTCTAGAAATTCTAAGCAGTCTGCTTATTTTTATCTGAGCTGTAAGCACTTCTGCTATTTCAGTAATAGACAGTACCCTAAGTCCTAAGTTAAGGTCAGCCCCAAGACTGCTGGTGGTGTGCTGTCACTGTTTCAGCCCTGGAGGGTACCCCGATTCCAGTTCTGTCCCAGATTCACAGTTGATATGTTCAGAATGAACCGCGGAAGTGTCTAAAAGGGGAAGTCTGTCCCTGCAGGGCTCTTCCTGGGGCCAGGGAAAGCCAAGACATCTCATCAGCAGGGCTGGCCTGTGGCCAGGCAACACAGGATTCCTCCTTGTTCTGGGCCCTCAACATGGAAGCACCAGCCCAGGTTCTTATGCAAGGCCTTCCCTTTTCCGAAATGGAAAATTACTCTCTCTGTGTTATGCAGCTTAGGGTTGAGGTAGCAATGTGGTGGGCAGTCTTGTGGCCACCAATACTACAATGCTAAATCGTAGCCCACAGCCCACCAAGACCAGCGCAGCACAAGAGTAGGACCGAGGCCCACACAGCCATGAGCTGTCTGCTGCTGAAGTGTGCTCACGGCCTGGGCCTCTGCCTCCTGACCACAAGTGATGCTTGCTGGGATTTAAATCTGACTGACGAGGGCAGCGGGTCTCCACCTGGCCCTGCAGAAGGCCTAAAGGCTCCATCTACTGGCACTGGCCTTGGGACAGGGATCATGAGGAACGACCCAGTATTGGGTTTTACCCACCAAACACTGAGTTCTAAGACATAGTCCTGTGTTCAGTTTTGTGCCCTACTTCCCGACAGCTGGGGTCTTGGTCCTTAGTATTGGCCAGAGGTTTAGAAGAGCTGATAAAAGTCAGTCCCTTCACCACCCATGCTGACACCAAACTGCATTGCACTTGAGTTCAGCAGCACAGAGCCCTGTGCAGTTTTCAACCAGGCCCTGGGCAGGTTGATGGTGAAATAGGTCAAAAATGAGTCTATTCCCCCAGGGAATGGGCTCGATGTGATGCCAAAGAAAACCAAGAGGCTCTGTGTGTGAAAGGCAGAGTTACACACAGAGAGGCAGAGGCAGAGAGAGAGGTCTTCCATCCCTGGTTCACTCCCCAGATGGCTGCAATGGCTGGAGCTGTGCCAATCCGAAGCCAGGAGCCAGGAGCTTCTTCCTGGTATCCCACATGGGTGCAGGAGCCCAAGGATTTGGGCCATTTTCTACTTCTTTCCCAGGCCATAGCAGAGAGTTGGATTGGAAGTGGAGCAGCCAGGACTCAAACCGGTGCCCATGTGGGATGCCAGCACTGCAGGCAGTGCCCTCACCCGCTACACCTTGTTCATTGTTTGCCAGATGCTGGGGGATGAGAGGTTCTTTTGCTTGGCTAAGGAGGATCCAAAGGTTCCGTCTGTAGATACTGGCATGTGGACAGAGGTCATGGGGTCCTGACACTGGGTTTTAGACTGGCAGGTCTCATACTGGATTTCGAGTCTAAGTTCTGGACTTAATTCAGTTCCCCTCTCCCAGCTGGGAGGCACAGAGTCTCTCTTCAGTCTGTTGCTTGGAGCTGGGAGAGGGATGACACGGGCAGCTCTTACCGTCATCAATGTGTCTTTTCTTATTGTCAGACTAAAGCTGGAAACTGGGGTCTCTCCTCCGGCTTCCTTAACTCTTGTGATGGAGGATGTGCAAGAATAGCTGTGCAGAGTTGTGTCCCTGGGGAAGCAATCGCTGGAGCACGTCGCTCAGCCACCATCCTGCTCTGCCTCTGGTTAGCGTGTTTTTGAAGGGAATAAACTAATATTAACCTACACGTGGGAGGGTAACTATCCAGGAATATCCAATAAAATTGTAAAACAAAAAATAGTGAACTGGGACAAAGTGACTATGGTCCAGAGGGGTACAAAGGGCATAGTGGAACAGGAGAGAGCCCAGAATCAGATCACTGGTGTATGAGAAGGGAAGTGCCCCTCACTCCCTACCTTGGGGAAGGAGACAGCAGACACTGGATACTCAGAAGCCACGGGGAAAACCAATGTTCAGCTATTTTGAGCTAAAACTGACATACAGTGCCTTATACATATTTAGTCTATACTTTGATAATCTTGACATACTTGTAGCATACACCTACAAAAACAATCACCACAATCAAGGCAGAATATCTACCAACCCCAAATCTCCCTGTGTCCCCTTTGTAATCCTTGCCTTCATCTAACACCCCCTACCTTCTGTTCCCCCTGCTCCCATTCCTGCTGTCTTCAGGCAACCCCTGATCTGTTGCCACCATAGTTGTGCATTTTCTAGAGCTTCATATAAATGGAATTATATGGCATATATTCCTGTCTGGCTTCTTTCTCCGAGTTATTATTTTGAGATTCATCCATGTTGTTCTAGTAGTTCTTTCCTTTCATTGTTCAGTATGGATGTATCACAATTCGTTACCTATTTATCTTTCTTTGGGCTTTTTTTTTTTTTTTTTTTGCTTACATAGTGGCCTTGAATAAGTCTCTTCTTCTCTCTTAGCTTGCTCAGATATCAAACAGGGATATCCCTGCTGTCTCTTCAACCAGTCTGTTGGAAGGATACGACAAGACTCAATGCACAAATATTCTACAAGCAGAGAGCTCTGTCTGGGATGGAGGGGCTAAGTGCCCCAGACCCTCTATCCCTTGGGGCTACACATCTTTTAGAGGAGTTTTGTCTGAACTGTCCCCCAAGCCATCCCAAGGGAGTAGGGCCTGAGCCCCTGGGTGCCACTGGAGGGGTCTGAGTGTGCTGCAATTTCTTTTAAAGCTTTATTGTAAAGATTTATTTATTTAGTTCAAAGGGAGAGTTATAGTTGCAAGGGAAGAGAGAGAGAGGGAGGAAGAGAGAATGAATATCTTCTATCTGCTAACTCACTTCCCAAATGGCCACAGATGGGACTGGGTCTGTCTGAGGCTAGCAGCCTGGACCTCCATCCGAGTCTCCCAGTTGGTGGCAGGAACCCAATACTTGGGCCATCTTCTGCGGCTTTCCCTGGTGCATTAGCAGGGGGCTGGGTTGGAAGCATAGAAGCCAAGACTTGAACCAGCTCTCATGTGGGATGCTGGCATTGCAGGTCGTAGCTGAACCTGCCCCCCAGTGCTGGCCCCTGAGCTTTAGAATCTCAATCTGGGTGCTCTGCTGTTTTCAGGCCACAGGAGGTATAAGTGCAGAAGCAGGGAGATCAATTAGGAAACCACTGTGGAAATCCAGGCTCTAATAAATCCACGCTGATCATGTGGACTAGTGTGGAGGCAAAGGAGAACTGGAGTCAACAGAGTTAGGTTGTGGCATGGCTGTTGGAGAGGAGGAAGAAAAGTAATGACTCTCACTCCTCTCCCTTCCAAAACCCACAGCTGGGTTCCTGGTTGATTAACTGGGAAGGTGAAAGGTATGCTATGAGAATGGAGGAAAAACTAGGGATTGATTAGGTTCGAGCATAGATCAGTTTTCATTTTAAATATGGTTATACTGGTGTATACTCCAAGTGAGTAAGTGAATCTGACCTTTCCTCGCCTATCAGCTAGGGGAGTGTGTAAGGTGAAATCAGAATCCAGGGCTGAGCTCCAAGGTCCCATATCTGGGAGTTAGAAAGAAGGGGAGGTAGGCATAGGGGAGTCAGGAACAGGGATGATCTCTGAGACAGGAAGGGTGAGCACCCCTAGACAAAGGAGAGAAGCAAAGCGAGGGCCTTGGAAGGACACAGACCAAGCTTATTCCGGGAATCTCAACCTCTGCTGATGGGCCAAGAATGTCACTAACTACAAGGAGCCAACCCCTTAGAAGAAGCAAGTACCCACCCTCAGGGGGATCCCAGGCAAATAAGGAAATTGAATTAGAATTTTAAAATCTTCCCACAAAAATAGAGGCCCAAACAGCTTCAATGGATAATTCTATGAAATATTTTTAAAAAGAAAAAGCACCAACTCTTATTAGTCAGCTTTTCATTACTTTAATTAAACTATCTGAGAGTCAAGCTACTTTAGAAGACAGAAGGCTTATTTCAGGTTGCAGTTCTGGAGGTTCATAGTCTGAGACCTGGCAATCCCATTGGTTCAGGTACCTAATGAGGCTGGAGGGCGGCAAAGCAATGGATACAAGGCAAGCTAGGAAGTGGACACACACACACAGGGAGCACACTCTCCCTCCACGTGTTGTCTCACTTTCAGACACCGTAATTGGACCAAGCCTCTATCCTTAATCTATCAGCCGCTGATCATTAACAGAAGATGTTGGGGGTGTAAATGTCTGCATGAGTATGGGGAACCAAGTCCTGCACAGACCATAGCACAGTTCTTCATAAACTCTTTCAGAAATACTGGGATCAGCGGGCTGGTGCTGTGGTGCCGGCATCCCATACGGGTCCCAGTTCAAGTCCCAGCTGCTCCTCTTCTGACCAGCTCTCTGCTGTGGCCTGGGAAAGGCCCCTGCATCCGTGTGAGAAACCCAGAAGAAGCTCCTGGCTCTTGGTTTCAGATCAGCCCAGCTCCGTCTGTTGCAGCCATTTGGGGAGTGAACCAGCAGATGGAAGACCTCTCTCTGTCTCTTCCTCTGTCTGTAACTACCTGTTAAATAAATAAATAAAATCTTGGGGCCGGCACTGTGGTGTAGCAGGTAAAGCTGCTGCCTTCAGTGCCAGCATATCATATGGGCACCGGTTCAAGTCCCGGCTGCTCCACTTCTGATTCAGCTCTCTGCTATGGCCTGGGAAAGCAGTAGAAGATGGCCCAAGTCCTTTGACCACTGCACCCTCATGGGAGACCTGGAGGAAGCTCCTGGCTCCTGGCTTCGGATTGGTGCAGCTTTGGCCGTTGCTGCCATCTGGGGAGTGAACCAGTGGACAGAAGACTTCTCTCTCTCTCTGCCTCTCCTCTCTCTGTGTAACTCTGACTTCCAAATAAATAAATAAATCTTTAAAAATAAATAAAAGTAAAAAAAAAAAAAGAAATTGAAGGGGCAGAAACACTTCCTAAATCACTTTACAAGGCTGGTGTTACAGACCAAAGACTTCACAAGAAAATTACAATCTCTCTAGTAAACATAGATGCAAAAATACTTTAAAAACTTAGAATGAAGTTTCCTCTATTTGAAAATGAATGGGGGCTGGCACTGTGGCGAAGAAGGTAAAGCCGCCGCCTGCAGTGCTGGCATCCCACAGGGCTCTAGCTGCTCCGCTTCTGATCCAGCTCTCTACTATGGCCTGGGAAAGCAGTGGAGAATGGCCCAAGGGCTTGGGCCCTTGTACCTGTGTGGGAGACCAGGAAGAACCTCCTCCCTCCTGGCTTTGGATCGGCCCAGCTCCAGCCACTATGGCCATTTGGGAAGTGAACCAGAGGATAGAAGACTTCTCTCTCAATAGGCTAATCCTCCACCTTGCGGCGCCGGCACACCGGGTTCTAGTCCCGGTCGGGGCGCCGGATTCTGTCCCGGTTGCCCCTCTTCCAGGCCAGCTCTCTGCTATGGCCAGGGAGTGCAGTGGAGGATGGCCCAGGTGCTTGGGCCCTGCACCCCATGGGAGACCAGGAAAAGCACCTGGATCCTGGCTCCTGCCATCGGATCAGCACGGTGCGCCGGCTGCAGTGGCGGCCATTGGAGGGTGAACCAACGGCAAAGGAAGACCTTTCTCTCTCTGTCTCTCTCTCTCACTGTCCACTCTGCCTGTCAAAAAAAAAAAAAAAAAAAAAGACTTCTCTCTTTCTCTGCCTCTGTCTCTCCTTCTCTGTAACTCTGCCTTTCAATAACTAATGTCTTTTAAAAAATTAAAAAAAGAAAATGTATGGTAACCCACACTTAACAGTGCAATAAGGCAAGAAAAATTCAAGGTATCCAGATTGGAAAGGAAGATGTAAAACTACTTTTATTCACAGATGACATGATCGTGTATGTAGAAAATTCCAGGAAAACACATAACACACAGAGAAATGTTTTAAAAATGAGTTAGCAAGGTCACACGACACAAGACCAACATATACAAATCAATGGTTGTATTTACATATGCTAGCACTAAAAAAATCTGAAAATAAAATTAAACAAGCAATTCCACAAATATTCAGGAACATTTTAACAAAAGAAGTGCTACACCTGATTACCAAAAAAGATGTTTTGCTGAGAGAAATTAAGGAAGATCTAAATAAATGGTCACTATTTCATGTTTATAATTTGAAAATTTTTTATCAGGACTGGCGCTGTGGTGTAGCAGGTAAAGCTGCCGCCTGCAGTGCCGGCACCCCATATGGGCGCTGGTTCAACTCTTGGCTGCTCCACTTCCGATTCAGCTCTCTGCTATGGCCTGGGAAAGCAGTAGAAAATGGCCCAAGTCCTTGGGCCCCAGCACCTGCGTGGGAGACTTGGAAGAAGCTCCTGGCTTTGGATTGGCACAGCTCTGGCCAGTGGACAATTGGGGTGTGAACCAGTGGATGGAAGACCTCTCTCTCTGCCTCTCCTTCTGTGTAACACTGACTTTCAAATAAAGAAATAAATCTTTAAAAAAAAAAAAAGAAAATTTTTATCTTGTCAAGATGGCTAATCTCCTCAATATCTTCTTGATATATTCAACCCCAGAAGACTTTTCTTTAAAAATCAATATACTGATTATAAAAATTATGTGTGCATGAAAAGCAGGTAGAAAAGCCAAAAGAATTATGAAAAAGATCAAAGTAGGAGATCTTACATTATCTGGTTTTATGACTTGCTTTAAAACAAGAGTAATTGGGGCTGGCGCTGTGGCATAGCGGGTAAAGTTGCTGCTTCCAGTGCCAGTATCCCATATGGGCGCCAGTTCAAGTCCCGGCTGCTCCACTTCTGATCCAGCTCTCTGCTATGGCCTGGGAAAGCAGTGGAAGATGGCCCAAGTCCTTGGGTCCCTGCACCCGCATGGGAGACCTGGAGGAGGCTCCTGGCTCCTGATAGGTGCAGTTCTGGCCATTGCGATCAATTGGGGAGTGAACCAGTGGTTGGAGGTCCTCTCTCTCTCTCTCTGCCTTTCCTTCTCTCTGTGTAACTCTGACTTTCAAATAAATAAATAAATCTTAAAAAAAAAAAAAGAGTAATCAATAGCACACAATGGACAACACTACAGGTCAATGGAACAGAACTTAGAATCTAGAAATAAGCTCTTATATTTATATTTATGGTCAACTGATTTAGACAAAGGTACCAATGCATTTGAAGGGGAAAATAATATTTACAGCAAATCATTATCAGGACAAACAGAAAGCCACACATGAATAGATGAATTTAGATCTTTTCCTCACACCATACACAAAATTAACCCAAAATGAGTCCTACGGGGATGGTGCTGTGGCGCAGCGGGTTAAAGCCCTGGCCTGATGTGCCGGCATCCCATCTGGGCGCCGGTTTTAGTCTCAGCTGCTCATCTTCCGATCCAGCTCTCTGCTATGGCCTGGGAGGGCAGTGGAGGCTGGCCCAAGTGCGTGGGCCCCTGCGCCTGCGTGGGAGACCCAGAAGCTACTGGCTGCTGTCTCTGGCTTCAGATCAGCACAGCTCCAGTGTTGAGGCCATCTTGGGAGTGAACCAGCAGATGGAAGACCACTCTCTCTGTCTCTACCTCTCTCTGTACCTCTGTCTTTCAAATAAATAAAATAAATCTGGGGCTGGCGTTGTGGTGCAGTGGGTTAATGCCCTGGACAGGAATACTAGGGAAACATGACTAGGCAGCCTTTGAATGTGGATATATGTCACTGTCCTGAAGTTTTTTAAGAAATAGCTGCTGGGGCCAGCATTTGGTTTAGCACATTAAAGCCCCAGCCTGCAATGCCAGCATTCCATATGTGCCGGTTCGAGTCCCAGCTGCTCCACTTCTGATCCAGCTCCCTGCTAATGCACCTGGGGAGGCAGTAGAAGATGGCCCAAGTGCTTGGGTCCCTGCACTCACGTGAGAGACCTGCAAGAAGCTCCTGGCTTCAGCCTGACCCAGCCTTTTGGGGAGTAAACCAGCAGATGCAAGACCTCTCTCTGTCTCCACCTCTCTAACTCTTCCTTTCAAATAAATAAAATTAAATCTTTATTTATTTTTTTAAAGAAACAGCTGCTGATTCTCTTTGTTCCGAATGCTGGGTACACAGCTATGGAGTTTCTCAAGGAGCTCACCATCTAATAGCAAAACAGACAAGCACAAGCTCCTGCCATGGTAGGACATAGGAGTCATCACACAGAGGCACTGGGCTGACACAGTGCTTTCCTGCAGGGAAGGTGAACTGCATCACAGCAGGTTTCTACACTGTGATATGGAATTTAGATCTTATCATAAGCTGAAAAACTAGACAAAGAATTCAGTAGGGGAGCCGGCGCCGTGGCTCAATAGGCTAATCCTCCACCTTGCGGCGCCGGCACACCGGGTTCTAGTCCCGGTTGGGGTGCCGGATTCTGTCCCGGTTGCCTCTCTTCCAGGCCAGCCCTCTGCTATGGCCAGGGAGTGCAGTGGAGGATGGCCCAGGTGCTTGGGCCCTGCACCCCATGGGAGACCAGGAAAAGCACCTGGATCCTGGCTCCTGCCATCGGATCAGCGCGGTGCGCCGGCTGCAGCGGCGGCCATTGGAGGGTGAACCAACGGCAAAGGAAGACCTTTCTCTCTCTGTCTCTCTCTCTCACTGTCCACTCTGCCTGTCAAAATTTAAAAAAAAAAAAAAAAAAGAATTCAGTAGGGAATTAAAGAAAAAAACATCTGTGTACCACAGGAAATCATCTGGGAGTAAGAGGCCTGGGGTAATTCCAATTAGAACTGTAAAATTGTTTGCCTGTGTATATTGTTATTGTAAGCAGCGGTAAAAAGTTTGGGCTGCACTTTGGGGTGAAGCGGAATGGGCTCTGCTGACTGTCAGGAGGGGAAAGGAGTCCAAAGAACAAAATAAAAAAAATTTTTTTAAAGATTTATTTATTTGAAAGAGTTATAGAGAGAGGTCTTCCATTTCTGGTCCACTCCCCAGGTGGCCGCAGCGGTTGGAGCTGCGTTGATCCGAAGCCAGGAGCTTCCTCCGGGTCTCCCACACGAGTGCAGGGGCCCAAGGACTTGGGCCATCTTCTGCTGCTTTCCCAGGCCATAGCAGAGAGCTGGATTGGAAGAGGAGCAGCCAGGACTAGAACCGGTGCCTATATGGGATGCCAGAGCTTCAGGCCAGGGCTTTAACCCACTGTGCAACAGAATCGGCCCCTAATTTTTTTTTTTAATTAAAAAAGAAAAAAGGGAGCCACTGCTGTGGTGTAGCGGGTAAAGCCATTGCCTGCAGTGTCAGCATCCCACATGGGCACCTGTTTGCGTCCTGGCTGCTCCACTTCCTCCACTTCTGATCCAGCTCTCTGCTATGGCCTGGGAAAGCAGTAGAAGATGGCCCAAGGCCTTGGGCCCTTGCACCGGTGTGGGAGACCCGGAGGAGTCTGCTGGGTCCTGGTTTTGGATCAGCTACTTGGGGAGTGAAGCCGTGGATGGAAGACCTCTCTCTCTCTGACTCTGTGTAACTGTTTCAGATAAAATAAATATGATAACATAAAAAAAAAAAAAAAGGAACAAATGGATCAAGCAGATGAGTCTAGCTTTTCACAGTCCACTCTTCCACCAGAGGGCTTTTTGGCTGTGATCGAGGGGGTGTAGTTTGTACTGAAAGGGCTCTTATTTGTAGCATGTGAACTTTCCCTCAGGATGCGGAGCCCACCTGTTTCAGCACAAAGGTTCCTGCTTCTACAATTTTCCCTTCGCTGCTCATGACAGTGCTGAGCAGCAAGCCCTCTTGCACTGGGCTTGGAAACTGGAGATCGCTGCTTCACAGGTAAAAGATGCTGCTCCCCTTAGGTGAACTGGACTGCTGAGTGTGAAGATGTGGCCTCAGTTCTTAGTTAACTGACTAATCAATTGGTTACTTGGCCTAAGGCAGTTTCCTTATGCTAAAATGAGCTAAGCTACCTGTTCTGTGGGGATTACTGAGAGGATCAAGGGAGATTCAACAGACAGAGTGTTTATGTGTGAAATCTGCTGGTAGGGTATGTGTGGGAGTCATAGGGCTTCCAAAAATGTAAAAAATACAGCTGTTATCCAAGTGTATAATCATCACCCAATGGATGAGACTGACCACAAGCTGACTTTTGGAAAAATGTGATTGAAGAGCTTCCCAACCTCCACAACCCACAGTAAGCAGGGTGTAATCTTCGGAAGGCTGATCTGGAACATGTCTGTGTTTGAGGAAATGGAAACTAAAGACAGGAATCCAGTTCTCACACGTAGATGAGCATGCAAACCACCAGGGAACCTTGCCCACACCAGAGTGCCGAGCTGGGGAATCCTTCTCTGGGGAAGGACCTAAGAATGAATCTGTGGCTTACAAACTTCCCAAAGACTTTCATGTGCACCAAAGTCAAAGCACTGAAGCATAAAAGAGGAGCCAAAGGTGCTGGTTGCGGGCAGTCGGCAGAGCAGCCATCTACTGGGGGCTCTGGAGTGTCACGCCGCAGAGTGAGGGAAGTCTGAGGGCGGCGGGGATCTGGGCAGGAGCAACATACACACAGAACTCTCCAGATACTTTCCACCAGACTGATTCTTATAAAATCTTTTTTTTTTTTGACGTCTCTTAAAGACTGCTTTTGCTGTACAGCTGGCTTTTCCCTGAACAGAAATATTCCCCATTAAACATACTGTTCACTGATTCACAACAAAAATATGACTCACCTTTAACATTAAAAAAATAAATCAATACAAGACAAGAGCTATTAGGAGTATTCTCTTTATTTCTCTCTTTGGTTTCTTAACACAAAAACATGCGCTCTATAAATAAAATAAGATTTTCTGGGAAATAACAAATTGGGGATATGTGAGGAGAATTCCTACCTATTCATATTTCTGTGGCCAAGTCAAGAGGCTGGTCTTCGGGCGCCATCTAACTGTGATCTCGGGTGAAATCCAGAAAAGAAGGTTTCCTATGTTATCCAAGAAGGTTAGATTCCCAAGCACAATAAATAACACAGTCCTCTGCTCGGAGCTAGGCTAGACCCCAAGGCCTACTGAGCACACTGTCTGTCTTGCCTCCTTATTCCATCTTTTCCACAATATTCATGGATGACGCATCTTCAAGGTGGTTTGGGAAAGATTCCAACACCAAAGAGCCAGACCAGCCATTTGACATCAATCACACTGAAGAACCTTCTGGGGAACGTGTAAAAATGGTGTGTGCTCAAGCACTGGTGCGATCTGACTTAGAAACACTGCACTCGGGTACTGCAGCGTAACTTTTACACCAGAAAGTGGGAGTGGACTTGGGAGGGAAGACCACTACAAAGCAGCAAACCATGGAAAATGATCATCGCCAGTGGCAGAATCTAGCCAGCATCCCACGGAGCCAGCCAGGCCCATTCAGGGATCCACTGACACCCTCACCATCCAGGATCCTCAGTGCTGCTTCACATTCATGGCAGAAGGGCTTACAACAGTTACATCAGCACGGATACAATCCTAAGGGAAACACAGACCCCCAACCTTCTTCCCAGCTTACCTCTGTAGGAAAACCGGGAGGCAGGGAGGGATGCTGGAGCTCCACCGTGAGCCCAGGTTAACAAAAACAAAAACTACACCAGCTATCAGAATTTCGAGACTTTTTAAAATTAAAAAAAAAATCCTTTTCAAGTGCTTATAGCAGAGGTCCAGCTCCTAAGTTGCAGATAACAAAGGTCCTGCCCTCTGAATACATGGCGATTGCACACACTGGTTCATCTCGCGGTCCTACACACCCTGGACTCCACATTGTAGCTTTCTGAACAGGCTTCCCGGCCACCCCAGGCAGACCGCCAAGGACAAGAAACCAACCAGGTGGAGATTGGAACCCTAAGGCCCAGCCTTGGGTGAAAGGAATTGAACCCTTTTAGTCTCTACTGGAAGAATTTTAGAAAACCAGATTTTGGCAGCAGCAGTTGAAGGACAGCATCACTGCCCAGTGCACTGGTCACAGAAAACGTCTTCCTCTTTGGGTCCTGCTGTGCTACATTGAGGTCCCATCCAGGAAGAAGAAGGAAGGAGCATGGAGTCTCTTCAAGAGGTCATTCGTCACGAGTAGAGGAAGAAATATAAAATCTGTTCTTTGCAGCAGCAAGAGATTCTTTCCGCCTTCAGTTCTTAACCAACTCTGCTTGCATGTAAAGGTCCTCCTTGCTGGTCGGTCAGCCAAGGGCTGGAGGGAGGCCAGGCCCCTGGAATTGGCGAGTGGATGGAGGAGCAGTGGAATGGCAGGGCAGACAAGGTTACCACACCATGTCAGCCCACGGCTGGTAAGAAGGAGCAAGCCCCTGGTTAGGTTCTGGAGATAACAAATGGTGAATGTGCCCCAGAGACATCACAATGAGGAATATTTTCCAACAATAGGTGGACAGGTAAGAATCCGGCTGGACCTGCTGTTTCCTGCTGGTCCAAAAAGGAAGGAATGTGTGTGGGAGCGGAGAATCTGAGCGAGTACGGCGGTGGCAGTGGGAGGTAATCACAGGGGCATCTGGAGCCATGAGGCTCCCACCTAGAAGAGTGGCAGGAATGCAGCCAACTCGCTAAGCCTATGATTAAAAACGTCCTCTGATAGTGGGTGTGGAGACAAACCCCAGGAGCACCTTGCTACAGGACCAGTCACGAATGCACTGATTCCACACTCGCTGGGGCTCAGAGGGAACCCCAAGTGCTGTGCGAGGCCTCAGGACCCTGGGATCCGAATGTGGGAGTGGATACTGCCCTTTTCACGTCTGACAGTTTTCCACTGAAACTTGCATTTGTCTTTAGTGTCTTTTATGCTCTTCCCTTTCCTGCAAAAAAACATTCCCTTAAAAAAACCAAAAAACAGTATTTTTCTTTCCAGTTTCTTTCAAGTGTCTCTTTGTTGAAATTTCCTTCAGTTTCTTTCAAGTGTCTTTTTTTCCCCCTCCTTCAGTTTCTCCTGGACAAGATGAAAAAGACCTCACTGAAACCCCAAAATTAAACAGGGGAAAATCTTCTGTTCTTCCTGCTGACCCAGCAATGAGGACGCGCTCCTCCGCGCCCGAGGCAGTGTGCGGCCACAGCTGCACCATCACTGGCAGGATGCACGCTGAGAGTGCGCGCTTTCTCTCCCTGCTACACCCCAGTCTGCAGCAGGTTTGGCCCCTGCAGCCTCCCCATGGCAAACTGGCCACAGCACAGATGGAGAACAAGCAGGCGGGGTGGAGTGGCAGATGAAGGCCTCTGTACAGTGGCAGCCCACACAGCTGTGGCAGGTGGCAGCTGTGGTCGCATGGAGCCTGTGCACACAGGGACCGGCAAAGCGGTTCGTTCCATGTCACCAGCTGCAGACCTGGCTTCTGCTCTGTGCTGTGCATCTTGATGACCTAGGCCTGAAGGTCTCAAAGACAGCACAGTGAGGGAGGACTTAATAAGCACCTGGAAAAACTGTATCCCCGGCAAGCTCACATTTCATCCCATCTTTGGGTCACCACCTCTCTCGAGAGGGACTGTCCCTGGAAGGAAGAGCCTATGTTTGTACCAGATCCCTGCCCCACCACATCCCACCCTCTGCCTTAGATGGTCAGGAGAGGGATGCAGCCCACGCCAACCCCTCCCTCGTGGCATGCCATAGGAGCCATAAATGTCCAGCGGTCTGCCTCTGGATCATACATCTCCACCGAGCTTAGGTTTGATTGTCCATCGTAGCCCCCCACGGCGTAGAGGCGCCCACAGCTGGCCACAAGGGAGACCCGACTCCGACGTGTGTGCATGGGTACTATCAGGCTCCACTGGTCCGCCATCGAGTTGTACACTTCAGCGATGCTGAGGAAGCCGGAACCGTCATAGCCCCCGCAGACAAACATCTTGCTTCCAAGGGAGGCAGCTCCGTGTCGGCAGCGCTTGTTGAGCATGCCGGCTGCTGGGTGCCAGGTGGCCGTGTGGTGGTTGTAGTGCTCCACCTGCAGTGTGGAGAGAGGCACAGGTACAGGACAGTCAGAGCCAAAGCCTTGTCCACAGGCTGACCCTGCATGGCACAGTAGGCCACATGGTCTCACACTCTGGTGGGAGGCCTGGGGATGAGGAATTCTGCCCGCAGGTGCTCCTGCTCCTCAGCTGCACACCTGCTCCTGGGTATACAGGGGAGTCAGAGAACAACCCATCTGGCTCTTGTGAGATGCAAGGATGCAAAAGGTTTGCTGAAGGGTACAGTGCCAGGTAGTAACAGAGCCGGCTCTTTTCCGGTCTGTCCAGAGAGCATTCTACCACAGCACTGGCTGACTCTATGGGCCCACCACAAGTAGCTGCTAAGCACTTGCACAGTTTCAAACCAACTGTCTCGAGTACAGTTATCTGCACACTCACACTTGGTATATAATGGAGCTTACTTTGGGTGAGAATTTCACAAGTCTGATGCAGCATTTGATGGACAGGTAACCAGGGTGGTGGTGGTGGCAGGGTAGAGGTGACTATACCAGACCTCTCCTTTGTGTACGCTGGCTACCATTTTCCCAAAGTTAAGCATTTTAGAAGGTACACTACATAGCCTGAGACCTCACTGCATGATGCCTTATCCAGTAGTGGTAAGGTTGAATTTTTTTCAATCATCTTTGAAATAACTATCAAGGAGTGGGCAATTAGTCTAGCAGCTAAGATGCCTATGTCATATAGTGAGTGCCTGGATCTAATTCTCCTGCTCAGGCTCCTGACCACAGCTTCCAGCCACTGCAGATCCTGGGAGGCAGCGGTGAGGGCTCAAGTAACCAGATCCCTGACCCCAGCATGGTAGATCCGGATTGTATCCTTGGCTTCTGGTTCCAGTTATGGCCCAGCCCTGGCTATTGTGAGCAGAGTTAGAGAGGGAGGGAGAGACAGAGTTCTTTCATGTGCTGGTTCTCTCCCCAAGTGACTGCAACAGCTGGAGGAAGGCTGATCTGAAGCCAGGAGCCAGGAGTTTCTTTTGGGTCTCCTACATGGGGGTAGGGGACCCAAGCACTTGGGCCATCTTCCACTGCTTTCCCAGGCCATTAGCAGAGAGCTGGATCAGAAGTGGAGCAGCTGGGACTCGAACCAGTGCCCATACAGATGCTGGCGCTGCAGGCGGAGGCTATAACCTACTACACCACAGCACCTGCCTCCAAAATAACTCAACATGGAAGGAGTAGGTGCCCTTAGCCCAAGAGGAGCCCGACTCACACTGTTGAAGATCTGCAAACCATCATGGCCGCCCGACACATATATCCTGCCCTCAAAGACCGTAACCCCAGCGGCACTGCGATTCGAGCTCATCGGGGTCACCACTGTCCACCTTTAAAAAAGAGTCAAAATAAAGAGAAGACATGAGAGCTGGTCTCCTAAGACAACTTACCAGGGCTTGGGTGGACCGTGGATAATCTCCCCACATTTTACCAGCTTTCCCATCACTTCTGTTGCTGCCTCTCATCCAAGTGCAGACACACAGCCCATCTTCTCTGCTCTTTTCCATGTGCACTCCAACCCAGCATGTATCAAACCAGGCCTCTTTCTCCCACATATCTGCTCCTCTCATGTCTACTCCCTCATCCTGTTAATGGGACCACCAGCTATCTCCTTGCTGCACTTAATAAAAGTCAGAATTTGGGGGGCTGCTTCTCCCTCACCCTTAACATTCTTGTGGTCCCCAAGTCCTGGCTGGTTTGTTTTCTGGTTGCTGCTTGTTCCCATCTCCATCCTTTTGCCATAGCTCTGGCCTCTCACCCCGACTATAGGAACAGCCTCCTTACCAGCGGCCTGGCTTTCAGACCACTTCCCATTCCAACCCATGTAGCCAGTGGCTGTACCACAGCCCTCGTCTAAGGCAGTTTCCAAGTTCCTTAATGTGTTTTTTACCACTTTGTCCTCACCCACTTTGCAGAGCCACCCCTTGCCACACTGTATGTTCCAGCCCACTGGAGGCTAACTGCTGTCCTCGCCACTGTGAACACTTTCTTACCGAAGAAAGTGCTGGCTCCCTGCTCATGATGAGCAGCCTCTCCCACTGTCTACCCATGATAGGTCTCACCTTGGAAGACATCCCGGCCACTCTGCCTCTCCTCCCAGCCCCAGGGAGGAGGAAGGTGCTCCCCAATCTCTGCCCAAGAGCACCAGACACAAGCCTCCCGGGTAGGATGACAACGCATTCATTATGAAATACTGAGTATTACTTTAAGGATCTCATAGCCAGCTTATGGCCTGACATCTAGTAAGTTCGTGAAGTGACAGTATACTAGCTCAAAAGCATCCTGATGAGTCCACTCAACCCATTTGCTTATATTTTGTTACACAATATGAGAGTGTTCAGGCTAATCTTGTGTTTTCCAAAGACTGTTTCACAAAATAACCTCAAGATGTTGCTAGGTATTATATAAAACACAAGGTTAAACTTCACTCTAGAAGTTTTCAGAGCCTTTAAAATGTTAACAGGGATTATGGAAAGACAAGGACTCTGGTGGTACAGACATCAACATTTCCCAAGCTTATCTGATCATATAACGTCTTTCTTTTTTTCCAAATCATATCCTGCTCACTTTGGAACATGTTGCTGGTCTACTTCCTATTCTCTTTCACTTGCATTTCCATTAAAATAGGCTGACTGATTAAGAGGTACAGACCACCAAACAAATGCTTCCAAGTATCTGTATAGATCGTTTGAAAAAATTATTCAACAATTCGTTCATTTAACCAAGGATGTGTAGCACAGCCTATCACACACAAGACATTATAGGTTAAGATTTGTCTACAGTCAAGAAGTCTGTGGTCCCAAGTTTTTTCACACACTCTGCTCAGTAAGCTCCAGTTGCCCCAGAGGAGCCAGAACCCTTACTTATCCGTCTCAGGCGAGTAGGTCTCCACAGAGTTGAGGGAAGAGTTTCCATCGTAGCCCCCACACACGTAGATCTGCCCGTCCAGCACGACTGTCCCCATGGCACTGAAACAGACAGAGCTGTCATTCCAGATGGGCCTCAGACTCCCAGTGCTGCCTCTTATGTCCACAAGAAGTTAACCTATCAATGCCTTTTTCTGCCTGAAATGCTCCCTTCCAACCTGCCATGCTGATGGTCTCATTTACCTTTACTGCCCAGGTCAAATTCCTCTTGCCTCTCCCTCCTTAAAAGCTACCTGAGACCCCTCAAACAAGACTTACTCTCTTCCAACCCCACATTCCCACAGCTGCTTCTTTCTTTATTTCATCACTTGTTGCAATCATTCATTTATTCATCCATCATATTTTTATCAGTCACTCACAGGGCACACTGTCTCAGGCACTGGGTTTAGAGTGGTGAGTAAGCCCAAGCTTTTGCCCCCAAGACACTTATGTTCTGACACTATGGAATACTAGGGCTCGGTCTGCCACCTCTAAACAAGACAGGGAAGGTCTTCATATGTGTGACCTTGACAGTAATTAGTGTAGTGTCTGGAATATAAGAGGCCCTCAGTATATGTTCACTGTGTTACCTCAGATTCTTCCCACTCAAAATAACAGATGTGTTTTCATTACACACATGGCCTTGTCTGATGCCTAATTTGTCTAAGTGGGTGATGCATGTCAGGTGCTTTACACTTAATAGATTTTTTAAAATTTTGTAACAGGAACTTCACAAAATTGTATACTTCATTCGTTTCAAATGGATACATGGTTTTTAATCATAAGTACTTCAAGAGCAGTAAGTTCTCAAGATTCTTAATATTGAAATTATTTTTTTCTGCTCATACGTATTCAGTTTTCTTTATTTTCTTTTGGTACTCTACTTATTAGCTACCACTACACTTACTATTTTCAACCCTCTCCATGCCCTGCAAGAAGTGTGGGTCACTATCATAACTGCACAAATGCACAGCTGGGGCTCAGAGGCTGGGTTTTCTCCAGCCTGCCCAGGGAGATAACTGCCTTCAATGTAAATGAGACAAGATCAACTCCCTGCCACTCACAAAGCCAAGTTCCCAGAGTAGTAAAGACCCAGGGGACTGGTGAAAACATTTAGTCTGCTTTGAGTCCTGGCTGTTACACTTCTGATCTAGCTCCCTTTTAATGCGCCTGGGACAACAGTGGAAGATGGCTGCAGTGTCTGGGCTCCTGTCACCCACACGGGAGACCTGGATGGAATTCCAAGCTCCTGGTTTCGACTTGGCCTAGCCCCAAGTGTTGTGGACATTTGGGCATTGAACCAGCAGATGGAAGATCTCTCCCTGTTTCTCCTTCTTTCATTGTAATTCTTTCAAACAAATAAAACAAAACTTGAAAAAAAGAGACAGATTAAACATCAATTAAGTGGTAAGACAAGTGTGTAGAGAAAAGGGAAAGTGTTGATCAGTGTGGACTGGAGTAGCCCAGAGCAATAAAGTTCCACGGAGGTGGCCTGGAAGACTGGAGGCAACAGGAAGGAAAAGACAGGAGAGGAGGTGTCACTAACTGACGGGACGGAGAACAGTGTGGGATGTCAGGAGAGAAGCAATGAGGAACATTTTAAGGTAACCTATAATTTAAAAGGGATGAGATGGAACTGGTCTCACGCTACTAATAACAGGGCATTAACCACAGTGAGGAGAGGAATACCCTGAGGACTTTCCTCCAGAAAACATTCTAAACCCAGTGACATCAAAGCAAGAGGCCCGGGGCAGACACAGCAAAGGGCAACGGACTGTGGTTAGAGCAAAAAAGCCAGTATGGCTGGGGACACGGAGCAATGGTTCCTTTGATCACAGAGCCTGCAAAGGATTCTAGCGACAGAAGGGCAAGCACCGAGGCGGGCATGTTGGTAGGAAACAGCTGTGAGAGCACTCCTGCGAGGAGCAGATCTATGTACTTTTTGGTTTCTCCCCAAACTAACCTACTTTGCTGCTTTGCGAATCTGGGTAGCTGGTACACAGGCAGGGTCCTCCTGGCTCACTGCCACATGCTAACCCTGCAGTATGGAAGATGTGTAGCACAGCCGTGACACTTTTACGTGGTAGAGGACTTCTGCATTCACTCTTCTTTCTCACGTGTATCATTACTTGATTTTTTTCTTCCTAGGTCAGGTGTTCTCACAAGTAGAGACTCCAAAGCAAGGCCAGGCAAAGGAGTCTGGGAAGCAAATACTCTTTCTGTTCTAATCTACTTATTTATTTGAAAAGTCAGAGTTACAGAGAGAGAGAGAGAGAATCTTTCATCCCCTGGCTCACCCCTCAGAGAGCCACAATGGCCAGGGCTGAGCCAGGCTGAAGCCAAGAGTCAGGAACTCCATTCAGGTCTTCTGAACGGACAGCAGGGGCCCAAACACTTGGGCCATCCTCACTGCTTTTCCTAGGCCACTAGCAGGGAGCTGGATCGGAAGTGGAGTAGGCAGGACACAAACTGGTGACCACATGGGATGCCGGTGATACAGACGGCATCTTTACACGCTACGCCACAAAGTTGGCCCCAGGAAGCAAATTCTCTCATAACAGAATTACAAAGCAGAAAGGTCCTTAAAGAGCAATAGATTTGGTGGTTTTCAACCTGCCCCCTTAAAAAAAAACAAATTCATGCAACTTTCCTCTCAAGGAAAAGAGCTAATCACAGAGGTGCTGTGGTTAAATGGGCAGGGGCCCTTGGACTGCCTTCCCTCCTTATAGGACCTCTGAAGAGAAGCATCAGAGTGCCACTGAAAGCCACTCATCTGGTGTGGCCTCACTGGAGACTGAGGGACAGAACCTGTCTGGTTACATGGCTTGAGCAGTATCGGTCTTCCCACTGTCCAAGCACGTGAACCCTCTGCCACACATCTGCCTATCACCTTGGCACTGAGAAGCCTACATGCAGTCACCACTGAGGTGTCCTCTAATTCCACTTCTAACCGAGGAAATGCTGAGCAGGCAAGTGGCAGAGGAAGTAAGAAGCTGGGTTGTGTTCAGTGACATGTAAACTTGGTCCACCTTGCAAATATACCTATGTGCTCATGTCCAGAACAATGTGTATGATCCTGCAGGAAAGAACACTGCTTTAATTCATGTACACCAGGGGCAGTGAAAGCACATGTGTGGCAGGAGTCCTGGGGGAAAGAAAGTATAAAGAAAAACACCTTGCATTTCCTTTTATCGCTAGTAAAGTTAAATCCTCCTTATTCTTCAAGTTTCACTTTAATCCCACCTCTTCCCTGAAATCTTCCAGACGTTCCAGTCCAGTTTCTCTCCCTCCTTGAATCTTCCATAAAACACATTTTCAGTCCTTATCTGGCACTTAAATAACAATACAACTTCCACATGTCCACGTCTCATTTCCCCAAGTTCCTCAAAGGACAAGGCAGGTATTTTACTTTTAAGCAGGTGGGGGCTCGTTCCCAGGTGGCACCGGCAGTGGCTGGCCTGGCTGCAGGACATTCCCAGGCCAAAGCTTGTGTTTTACTTTATTACGTGCCCCTGCTCGTCTAGCATGGCACTCCCCAGATGCTCAGTGTGTATGCTCAGGCTGCACGTGGCTTCCAGAATACCTTCTCTTGCTATTCATGCTCCCCACTCTGGTCCAAGTGTCCGTCTCCGGATTGTAGGCCTCCACAGTGCTCAGCCGTAGTTGGCCGTCATATCCCCCGATGGCGTAGAGAAGCCCATTCACCACAGCCACACCAACGCGGCTGCGGGCTGTGGTCATGGGATGGCATTTCTCCCAGCGATTGGCGATGGGGTCAAACACTTCCACCACATTCAGGGAATCACCTGCATAAAAATTTGCTACTCAAATTAAAACAAATGAGACCACTTGTTTAGATCACAACTATAGGCATTGACTATATGGACACTGACTTGATTCTATATTAGCTCTTCCCACAGAAATTACTAAGGGCACAACAGCCCACTAAGAAATTTCAGCCATCATAACCTCCAATCTGACTTTTTAAGGAGAAATCAGAATCAGATAGGAGCCATTTACTTTTTAGAGAAGGCAGTTTTCACTTACAACCAGGAACTCCGCCTACTTAAAGTAAAAGACACAGGTAAACAGTTCTACTCTTTCTCCAGTGCAGGAAGCATGCCCGGGGGAACGGCGTGGGTTGTAACTGCTAGTGGGTGACCCTGGGCAAGTTCTTTTTGTCCCCACCCTCTGTTTCACATGTGAAATAATCTTCATGGCAGAGCTACCACAATGACTAAACGCTACATTCGGTAAAGCCCCCAGCATGGCTCTAGTATATATTTAGTATTCAGCATGATCTCCCTTTCTGTCTTGTGCTACTTTGGGGCATTTAGCACCTGCCACACTCCAGCCTTTACTGAGTTGAGGACTTACCTTTGCCAGGTCATATGATGAACAAGCAGCAAGTTAGTACCCACTTCTCACTAACCTTCAGTTGAAAGTAAAACTGCCCAGCACTATCCACTAACTCCCCCAGGAAAGGAAGGGACCCATACAGCTTGCCTGAAAACCTGACTGTGTGATACAAGAGGTGCCAATCACACTGGGGCTGCAAAGTGTGTGTGCATTTCACAGGGTAGGCTGAAGAATAAAAGGTGTTACTGAGGTGGCAGGTCCTACACTCAGGATAAACATTCGTTTTTTGGGGGAGACATTCTCATAGTCAAACCCACATGACCAAATGAGAGCGGCCTGGTAAGAGGATGGGGTCTCCAAGTCCTAGTCAGGGTTGAGTGAGTAAACACTACAGCCAATGTGATACTAGGGAAAAAGAGTTGCTTCAGCAACGAGGACACTTGAGTTCTACCAAAAACAACCTGTGAAGACAGTGAAAGCTCTCCGGGCCTCAGTTTCCAAATCTGTAAGATAAGGGGCGAGGCCTCCAGGATTTCTCATGCAATGGCATGAATATAGGACAAGCACTAATTATAGAGTAAAAACATCAATTCAAGAAGGGAAAGGAAGGTGAGATCACGAAAGAGAGGAACCAGAAGGGCCAGGCTAAGCTGTTTGGTGCTTCTTTGTCCATGGAGTCCAACACGGGGCTCTACAAAGGGGAGCTGCAAGATACCTGCTGAGTTGAGGCCCCCCACAGCATAGATAAGCCCAGCGATGGAGGTGCAACAGCGAGGCCGAGTTCTGAAAGCTGGCAGATGGGGCCGGCGCTCTGGCATGAGGTGATAGTCCTTTGCTTCATCTACCAGGTCCCTGGAATAAGGTAAAAAGATGCTACGACAGGAGGTATCTTCTCTACTTTGTCCACATTTGTACTTCTGATCCTGGCTCCCCAACCCTCACAGACCTCAAAAAACCCAAGTGTGGGTCTGGCGTGGTGGTGCAGCAGGTTAAGCCACCACTTACAATAGTAGCATCCTATATTGGAGTTCTGGTTTGAGTCCTGGTTGCTCTGCTTCTGATCTAGCTCCCTGCTAACAGACCTGGGAAAGTAGGGGAAGATGCTCCAAGTGCTTGAGCCCCTGCTATCCAAGTGGGAGACATGGATAGAGTCCCTGTCTTCAGTCTGCCTCAGCCCCAGCCATTGCGACTATCTGGCCATTTGGGGAGTGAACCAGCGTTTGAGAGATCTTTTTCTTTCTCTGTCTCTTCCTCTCTCCTTCTGCCTTCAAATAAATAAAATCTTTAAAAAAGAACCAAGGTGAGATCTGGGGAAACCATACACAGCTGAGAATTGCTCAAAATTGAAGGGGCAAAATGAGTAGAGCCCTCCTTAGCACATGTGATCCCAATGAGTATCTTTTAATAGGCACAGACCAGTCAAAAGAACAACTGGGCGGTGACTAACACAGCTGTGCCGGGGGTGGCTGAACAGGCAGCCTGCATCCTGCCACCACTCAGACTGGCTCCTCCTTTCCACGCTAGGACTGCACTATGGCTCACATCCTGCAGTGAACAGGCAGTCACAGCCAACAGCTCCTGATGTATAATTTCCCCGCCTCCAGCCTGCTCCTCCATTCCATCCTTTGCACTATAGTCCAAATTGTTTTTCTTTTTTTTCTTTTTTTAGATTTATTTGAAAGGCGGAGTTACAGAGAGGCAGAGGTAGAGACAGAGAGAGAGGTGTTCCATCTGCTGGTTCACTCCCCAAATGGCAGCAATGGCTGGAGCTGCGCTGATCCAAAGCCAGGAGCCAGGAGCTTCTTCTGGGTCTCTCAAGCGGGTGCAGGGGCCCAAAGACTTGGGTCATCTTTTACAGCTTTTCCAGGCCACAGAAGAGAGCTGGATCGGAAGTGGAGCAGCCGGGTCTTGAACTGGAGCCCATATGGGAATGCTGGCATTGAAGGCGGAGGCACTACCCACTATGCCACAGCCCAAGTTGTTTTTCTGAGATCCTCCAATAGCTGCCTGCTGCAGACAGAACAGTTCAGACTCTTCGATAGCACATTGCAGTCTGCTGTCACAGGGCTCCAGTTACTGCTACGCCTTCCTGACACACACCTTCACAGTGCCTGAATCCAGCCACTGGCTTCCTCCCGAACCAGCTGATCCAGGGCTGAGAAAATGGAAAGAACTGAGTATGTGTAAAAACCTTGTCAGCAAAGGAGAAGGAGGTAGTTTACCATTGTGAATACAGTAAGAAATTCAGGGGATAGAGGTTTTTCTTGGCTGCGTTGCCTCTACACAATGCTCCTATAGGGCAGCCCTCTTCTGCTCTGCTGTGCCCTGTTATCACTGATGTACTCAGGCTAAGTTGCACTTGCTGGGAAAGAAGTCCTCCCCTAGCCAATCATCACTGAGGCAAAGTCTACACCTAGCAGCAGTCTGTGCACTAACTCACATTTATCGAAGAGGGGGAGGGGCCCAGAAAGTCCCATTTGCACCACCCAGTGAGCTGCTGGTATGGATAGGGTCAAGGCAGGTGGTATAGTTGCTTGCACATTCATAAAAAAATTCAGTGGATGAAGATGCTAGAAAATCATCATAAAACTTAAGAGGAAAGCCCCTCTGCCTTGCTACTCCCAAATGGCACATCTCTTTGCCCAAGGATTAAGCATGCTCTTGTCAGTGCCGTAGCTCACTAGGCTCTAATCCTCCGCCTGCGGAGCCGGCACTCCGGGTTCTAGTCCCGGTTGGGGCGCTGGTCCTGTCCCGGTTGCTCCTCTTCCAGTCCAGCTCTCTGCTGTGGCCCAGGAAAGCAGTGGAGGATGGCCCAAGTGCTTGGGCCCTGCACCTGCATGGGAGACCAGGAGGAAGCACCTGGCTTCTGGCTTTGGATTGGTGCTGTGCACTAGCCGTGGCGGCTATTGGGGAGTGAACCAACGGAAGAAAGACCTTTCTCTCTGTCTCTCTCTCTCTCACTGTCTAACTGCCTGTCAAAAAAAAAAAAAAAAAAAAAGACTCATGCTCTTAACACCTCTTTTTCTAGGTTCTGGACAGAGGATAGACCAACACATGTGCCATGAATTAAGACTGACTACTCCAAAGTCTTCCTCCCCTAAGCTGCAACAGGCGGCTAGGTCCTCTTCTCTGCCCAGACCCTCAGCAGTGTCACGTACCTGCATTTGTGGCAGCAACGCACCAGGTCATCTTGCTGCACTCGATCTGACAGGAACTGGGGCCGGCAGAGAGGCAAGCGGATGCTAGACAACAGCTCAGGCAGGTAAGGTCCTCTCTGCTCCCGGTCGTATCTGACCCAGGCCAACGCGGCTTCAAAGACCTGCGCGACAGAGTAGAAGCTCTGGCAACAACTCCTCTCATCCAGGATGAACCCACCTCTGGACATCAATCTCAATCCCTTCATTTTCTATACTGAGGCAGCCCCTTGAGTACATCAATCTTCCCAGCTACTCGTCTCCTGAATCCACTACTTTCTCTCCACTTCCCCAGCCACCCTCTTGGTTGCCCAGTCTTTAGCAATGTAAGCCAAGATGATTCTAACAGCTTCTGGCTTTAAATACGATTTCCTAATGAAAAACTGTCAATGAGTCTTCTTTCTGTATCAGAAGAAAATGCTCATATCCCTTCTTTCCCGCTGCTCTGCACCCCACTCCCTCTAAACTACCTTCAATGCCTTTACTCTAGCCAGGCTGAGCCAATTCCCCTGTTCACACTGCCTGCCCCATATCCTCCCCACTCCCAAAACCCTCTCCTCTCCTCGTCACCTAAACCCACTCCCTTTTCTTGAATGCCTGCCTCTCTGAGGAGCCTTCCCGCTGACGGCTCCAGCCACAGCATATCTATCTCCCTTACAGAATGTGTCACTCAGATAAATCGGAGTTGCTCCAGGTCACATCACTTGGTGGAAGAGCTAAGGACAAAATGCCTTATTCTTGGGATGAGCCTGCTCTTCTAAATTACAGTGTATCTGCTGGTCACTAACACGGGGGTGGGAGCTCTTCAGACACTCAGGAAATCTGCTGAGTTGTGCTAGCATCCCAGTGGCTGGCCTCCTGGAGCCTGGGGCTTCTGCTGAATCTGTTTCATAGTAGCCCAGAGTGCTTTATTTCAAATATCCTAAGTGGCTCTGCTTTTGGCTAGACTGATGCTGCAGTGCTAGGTACACACTTCTCACCTCTGCATTCAACACCCTTCGGCGCCAGCCCCTACCGCTGACTGACACTCGCTCTCTAAGACAACTTGCATCGCACACTGTTGTTGAACAGAAAAGGTCATCCTTTGTTCTTTTCCGGCTACTAAACCCCAAACTCTCATTTAGGCTTCTTAAATTCAACTCGCCCCCTAGTCTGCACCAGCCCCGTATATGTGGTTGACAGAAAACATACAACAGAGCTGACCGATGTACTTTAAATTTCTGACTACTCAGCCCATCAGGCCCTGCTTGCTACCTGGCCCTCTCCACTTCCCGAGCATTGTCCTTTTGTGCTCCTTCTTGCCTAGAGAACTATTTCATATCTTTTAATCTCTCTCCAAATTTTTAATACTCCTCCCTCATCCTTTCAGCTGAGAAAAAAAAAAAAAAAAAAACAGGCAAAACTATCAGCTAGAATCTACAATCGTCTCTTTTGCCCACCTCCTGTCTGGCTGTGTGCAGTCAGTTCTCCCTCTAGCTACTGTGGACCTTGTGGCGTGCACTCAATCAAATACGCACCCCCCTGGGCCCTACACCCTCTCTTCTCACTCCAGAACATCATTCCAGCAACTATCCTCCTATGTCTCCTTGTCTCCTACATTACCAATTCTTCCCTCTCTTTTTTCACTGCAACGGGGATTTTTTAGAAAAGAAAGTTCTTGGGACTGGAATTGTGGTGTAGCGGGTTAAGCTGCTGCTTGCAACATTGGCATCCCATATCAGAGCACCAGTTCAAGTTCTAGTTGTTGTTCTTCAGATACAGCTCCCTGCTAATGTGCCTGGGAAAACAGCAGAGGATGGCCCAAGTACTTGGGCTCCTGCCACCAACGCAGGGGACCAGGATGGAGTTCTGGGTTCCTGGCTTCTGCCTGGACCAGACCTGGCTGTTAAGGCCATTTGAGGAGTGGACCAACAAATGAAAGCTGTGTGTGTGTGTGTCTGTGTGTGTGTGCTCTCTGTCACTTTTTCAAATAAATCAAATCTTAAAAAAAAAAAATTCTGGATTTCACATTCCTTTCCAGATACTGCCCCCATGTTCCATTCTTTCCTAGGGGAAGACTCTTCCAAAAAGTTATCTTTCCTTGCCATTTCCAGCTCACAGCAGCATTACTTTTAATAGTAAATATTGAAAATAACCCCAAAATCCAAGAATAAGGGAAGTGGATTTGACAAGATCGATAAAAAACTATTTAGACACTGAACTATAAAAAAGAAACCCCATAAAATGCAATAGCTGCATATGTATCTTAAATTTGTTAAAAGAGGAAAAACTGATACAGAAAGCAGTGATTACAAAGAGCAGCATCCCAGAGGTCACCTGCAAAGACCACTCTGCCCTCACACACCTGCTCCTCGGATTTGACGTTCAGCTCATCCCGGGACACGAGCTCCAGCACATCTTCCAAGGGCAGGGCCAGGAACTCCTCTGACATGGACACCTCTACGAAATGCTGGTGAATGAAGCTGTTGGCCGCATCATAGAGCACAGCGCACATCATCGTCTCGGCAAACTGCCGTACACCCAGGCAGTTTTTTGGGTGAAGTCTTTTGGCATAAAAAAAAAGAAAAAAAATTAGAGTAAGAGGGGTAGAGGATGGAAAGGGAGAAAGCACAAGGGCTGTTAGTGCAGGATAATGAAGGGAGATAGAGACAGAGAGAGATCATCCATCCTCCCCAAGTGCCACAACATTCAGCGCTGGGCCAGGCAGAAACCTGGAGCCAGAAACCCAATCCAGCTCAGCCACGGGGGTGGCAGGAACCCAACTACTTGAGCCATCTCACCTGCTGCCTGCATATCAGCAGAAGTTGGAATTGGGAGTAGAATTTGAGTTTTTTTTTTTTTTTAAGATTTTATTTATTTATTTATTTGAGATGCAGAGCTACAGACAGTGAGAGGGAGAGACAAGAGAAAGGTCTTCCTTCTGTTGGTTCACTCCCCAAATGGCCACAATGGCTGGAGCTGTGCCAATCTGAATCCAGAAGCCAGGAGCTTCTTCCATGTCTCCTATGCCCGTGCAGGAGCCCAAGCACTTGGGCCATCTTCCACTGCTTTCTCAGGCCATAGCAGAGAGCTGGATTGGAAGAGGAGCAGCCGTGACTAGAACCGGTGCCCATATGGGATTCCGGCACCACAGGTGGAGGATTAACCTTCGGCGCCACGTCACCAGCTAGATTTGGGGCTTAGACCCAAGCACTATGATATGTGATGTGGGCATCTTAACCGCTAGGCCCAGTGCCCATCACAGGCTTATTATCTTTATCAGAATGCTTTCTTTCTATTCTCCCAGGCTGGTTTAAGGTTCTAAGCAATTCTATTTACTAAGCAATATTCACCACTGTCTCCTGGAAGCAGACTTGTTAAGGGCTGGGAGGTCAGGGTATCTCAGGAGCTTGGCTTTATGTCTACCATAAATTTTACATAGCTGTGGTTTCATTCCAGTTTCAACTTGGGCTTTCAATTGCTTTGGAAACCATGTGAATTTCCAAGGAAACATGAGCAGGGAACAATGTATAGTCAAAGCAGCATGGCCAGAGAGGACCACAGAGTTCAAGGTCAGAATGTCACTCAGGGTAAGACATTTAGCCCAGTGGTTAACACCAGTTACAACACTCGCGTCCCACATCTCAATGCCTGGGTTTCATACTCAGCCCCAGCTTGTGATTCCAGTGGACTCTCAGGTGGACTCTGGGATGTAAAGGTGATGGTTCAAGTGGTTGGGTTCTTGCTACCCATGTGTGAGACCTGGAGTTTTTTTTGTTTGTTTGTTTGTTTGTTTGTTTGTTTTTGACAGGCAGAGTGGACAGTGAGAGAGAGAGACAGAGGGACAGAGAGAAAGGTCTTCCTTTGCCGTTGGTTCACCCTCCAATGGCCGCCGCGGCCGGCGCGCTGCGGCCGGCGCACCGCGCTGATCCGATGGCAGGAGTCAGGAGCCGGGTGCTTTTCCTGGTCTCCCATGGGGTGCAGGGCCCAAGCACTTGGGCCATCCTCCACTGCACTCCCTGGCCACAGCAGAGGGCTGGCCTGGACGAGGGGCAACCGGGACAGAATCCGGCGCCCCAACCAGGACTAGAACCCGGTGTGCCGGCGCCGCTAGGTGGAGGATTAGCCTAGTGAGCCACGGCGCCGGTGACACCTGGAGTTTTTGGTTCTTGGCTTGTCCCAGCCCAGTCCTAGACATGGCAAGAACTTGGGGGAGTGAGCAAGCAGATGACAAGCAGATGAAGGAGTGCTCGCTAGCCCTCTCTCTTAAATCCTAATACATAAAATTTTAAAATTAGAAAAAAAAGTCACTCATTCATCTGTCAAATAATGCCTTTTGCCATAAACTCTTAGGATTTAAAAGCATTTCAAAGGGGGGGGGGCAGTGTTGTGGCATAGTGGGTTAAACCGCTGCCTGCGATGCTGCCATCCCATATGGGCATCGGTTTGAGTGCTGGCTGCTCCAATTCCAAACCAGCTCCCTGCTAATGTGCCTGGAAAAGCAGTGGAAGATGGCCCAAGTACTTGGGTTCCTGCCACTCACTTGGGAGACCTGGATGAAGCTCCCAGCCCAGCCCCAGCTGTTGGGGCCATTTGGGGAATAAACCAGCAGATGGAAGATCAATCTTTCTCTCTCTTCTTCTCTAACTGTCTCAAATAAATAAACCTTAAAAAAACCCCAAAGAGTTAAAATATGTAAAGCAGGCTTGAGGATGACTTGTCCCTGGGCCTGTATACAGCATGTGCTTCACTCCCTCCTACAATGTGACATCAACCCGAGAGAAGGTTCAAAATGCCACAGACTGGAAGCTGGTTAGTCCAAAGACATGGGAGAAGATGATCAACGGCGGCATCCCTTTCCATCCTCTCCTATTCAGGTTAGGATTTCTGTACCCAATTTTCAACAAATGCTGATGTGCTTGGCATAATACTGCACACTAAACACACTGTCTCAACTGAATTGGGCGTGTACATCCAAGAGGGGGCCATGTGGGAAGAAGCCTGTTTATAAGGCATTGATGGGGAGGGAGGAGGGAGAGCTGTCACACAGGAAACGGGTTCATGGCAGGAAGGAAACAGGAGAGAAAATAAGCCTACAGGGGAGATGCAGACCTAAATCCTTCACTAGCTACTTCATAACCTTTTTCCTTGCTGACGTAGCTCAACTTTTTTTTTTTTAAATTTTACATAAGTTATACAAGTTTCATGTATTTCATATATGCAGATTTAGGAACACAGTGATACTTCCCTCCTTCCCACCCATGCTCCAACCCTTCTACCTCTTCCTTCTCCCATTCTCACTCTTAATTCTTACAAAGATCTACTTTCAGTTTACTTAACGATTATAAGGTTAACTCCAACTAAGTAAAAGAGCTCAACAAACTGTATGAAGAAAAAAACTCTGTAAGCAAGGAGGCTACATAAGACACAAACACTACTGGAAGCAGGAAGTAGTGACTTGAATTAAACAAGTTATGACTTGGTTCCTTGATGCATTTGATGTTATAATCTAGCTCTGAGAGAAGACTTTCAGAAAATACATAATTTCAAGGCTTACCTAGAGGCAAACAGGCCCATACATCTGAAGGCTGGGGAAAGGGCCACAAGAAAAGAAATCAACTGTAGCCTCCGGGAGGAAAAAGCAGGTCAGAGATCTTATACACTAAGCAGCTTCAGCTACTACTGTTTTCCTGAAGCTGAGGGTAGTCCAACCTTGAAACTGAAATGCTCAAGGTGCTTGTCCTTGAGGGTACAAAGGGATTGAGGAGCTGGGAGGCCCTACCACACTCTGTAGCCAGGTTCGAGATGAACCACCCCAAAGAACAGAGGCAGTAACAATAACTACAGAGAAAACAGAAAGCAGGTCATGGCTGTGGGGTTTGTGGCAGGGAAAAAAGACAGGAATGAGATGTGGGCTTGAGTCTCAGAAGAGTCTGACAGGACTGAATGAAAAACTATCAAGGAAAGACTTAAGACATCAGGCTTTATGTTTAAGTACCTGATCCTAAAATAGTACCGGTGCACATAAAAACATCTATAATGGCCTAAAAATCACTTCCTAGGGGCGTGGCACTGTGGCACTGCACATTAAGCACTACCTGCAGTGCCATTATCCCATGTGGATGCCAGTTCAAGTCCTGGTTGCTCCACTTCCAATCCAGCTCCCTGCTGATGGCATGGGAAAGCAGTGCAGGATGGCCCAAGTCCTAGGGCACCTGTCACCCACGTGGGAGACCTGGAAGCTCCTGGCTCCTGGCTTGGGCCTGGTTCAGCCCTGGCCCTTATGGCTATTTGGGGAGTGAACCACAAGATGGAAGATCTCAATCTCTCTCTCTCTTCCTTTTTCTTTGCAACCCTGCCTTTCAAATAAATAAATAATTTTAAAAAATCACTTTCTACCCTGCACCCCATGGGAGACCAGGATAAGTACCTGGCTCCTGCCATCAGATCAGCGTGGTGCGCCAGCTGCAGTGCACCGGCCATGGCGGCCATTGGAGGTTGAACCAACGGCAAAGGAAGACCTTTCTCTCTGTCTCTCTCTCTCTCACTGTCCACTCTGCCTGTCAAAAAAAAAAAAAAAAAAATCACTTTCTAAACATTTTTAGGTGACAGTGCTTTATGAGAAAGCCTGGATTCAGCGTTGATAGTCATGACTTCAAAAACCCCTAGGTGGAGCTGTTGTCCCTTGGTGGAGGTTTGAGGATGACCAACTACTTTCCAGAGTGTCTACTTAATGAGAAAGCCATTCTCTGACTTCTACAGGATGTTACAAATAAGCAGCAGACACTGTGCATCCTTCCAGCCTGCCCTAGGAGGTGTCCCAGGGTAAGAATAAAGCAGGTTCTGGAGCTATACTCTAATTACAAGGTCTCCATCTGTAAACTCAGAATCCTACTCTGTTGGGTACCGACTAAAACCATTTACCCAATGCCTAGCAGATAAATGTCCCTGCATTTTTAGGCATCATTCATGCAGTTACTATGACTGGCTGCCACATGGCAGTTTTCAGTGACGCTCATGGCACCAGCAGGCAGGATGAGCGTGGTAGACAGCAGGCAGGGTCTACAGACTGCTAAGCAAACTGGATTGGTGGAGCAGGAATGGAGGAGGGGTGGATCATCTGAGTCAGGAAGGACTGCAGGTGATCAGAGACCTGGTGAAAAGGGAAGTTTCAGGGGAGACTGGGCTGGGAAAGCGCTGCAGATATGGGTGTTATGTCAGTTTCTCCCTGTACGTGGCGTAGCACTGACTCTCACCACCAAGCCTCTTATGGTTACATGGCCTTTACCTTACAACTAAGGGCTCTTCTCTTGCAGGGTGGGGTATGGGCAGAGAGGAGGAAGAGCCTTCTTTTTTTTTTTTTTTGACAGGCAGAGTGGACAGTAAGAGAGAGAGACAGAGAGAAAGGTCTTCCTTTGCCGTTGGTTCACCCTCCAATGGCCGCCGCGGCCGGCGCGCTGCGGCCAGCGCACTGCGCTGATCCGATGGCAGGAGCCAGGAGCCAGGTGCTTTTCCTGGTCTCCCATGGGGTACAGGGCCCAAGCACCTGGGCCATCCTCCACTG